GATCCGACTTTATGTCGTACACTAAGAGCTCGTACTCCGAGACATAATTGAAAAGATTAGTCAAGTGTTTGTTGAAGACGTCGCCGAATATGTGTGACTCGACGTCCAGCAGTTGGCACTCGAGTCGCACGTCCAGAAGGCCCGTCCTCTGGTTCGCCGCCTCCTTGATCTCAAAGAACACGATTTCGCTGTCAGTGATGAACGAACACACCTTCGGCTGACTTAAGATGATCTTCGGCTGACACAAGAGTTCGTCGTCGGCGACCGACTCGTCGCCGTCATCACAGAAGTCGGGAATGCGTCCGAAGCCGTTGCAGTTGAAGGTCTGGGGGCCGGGCGTCACGACATACGACCCGAACCGGTCCACGCGGATGAGCGTCACGTCCATGAGCTTCGAGTTGGGATACTGTGGCGCCACGACTGTCAGGATATAGTTGTCGTCCGCCGACCACTGATAGCAATAGACGGCCTCAAAGAGTCGCGAAGAGTCGGCGAACGAGTCGGTCGAGTGAAACGAGTTGCCAGTGTGTATCACGTGACTGGCCGTCAGCTCCAGCGGGCGGTCGCCGTTGAACCGGAAGATGTGGAGACGAATCTGATTGGACTCTTCGCTCTTGGAATAGCTGAGGAAGTGTTGACCGTTTTGTGTGAAACCGATGAATATGTGGCTCATGAAGGACTGGTTGGGCAACAGATCCATCAACACGTACTCCCGTCTGAGGGCCGAACAGATAAGCGATCGATCGCCGGCTCGCAGACCATCGCCACTGGTCTGAGACACAGGAAGAAGATAATGGAGATTAGTGTCAGATATATGAGTGAAACCACGGATCAAGTCATGCGATACTCACCCGTATTGAGTCGATAATCGATGGCAAGTGCTGTCTTCGTGCGGACATCGTTTGTGGTGAACGGATGGACACAAGAGGTGTTGCAACGAGGGATCAAATCATGGTTTGGATGGCATGTGAAGTGATCACAAACTGACCGATGGTTTGAATGAACCGTTTGTTGACTATTTGTGTGACAAATGAGCGCTTGTTTTGCGTTCAATATATTGAGCGCCAGTTTTGAATGCATTTTAGTAATGAATTTGAGTTTAAAAATTCAATTCAATATAAATTATATTTTAATTGCAAATAAAATGCATTTATTTATCATTTTATGGATTATCATAAGTTTTATTATAGATTTAACAGCAATTGAATAACAAATGATGTCATCATCTCATTAATTACAATATTTTCATTAATGGCAATCATATTATCATTTAGTTATCCATTGTATCACTTAATTATCACTAAATCTATGCACAGATCCATAACACGGAAGGCCTAACAGTGGCCGTAATCCGAAGACTTCATTTGTTCCAATACGTAGTCCTTCTGGTGGGAAGTGATGCCCCAAACGTCCACCTCTTTGTTGAAGGCCTCGAAAGTGCCGAAGTGTCCCAAATAGCCGTTAAGTCTGCCCGCGATATGCGAACCAATCAACTGCTTGTCACTCAAACCCAGACTATTGACCAGATTCTGGTGTTTCCTTAACATAAACTTCTGGTGATAGTCCTCCGCTTCGTAAAACACTTCCGACGGCAATATCAGTGTCTGAATTGGTTTCGCGTACTTCTTCTGCATCTCTTTCATCGACTCTTCGGCCAATTGCTTCTGGTGTGGGTTGTGGTAGAAAATAGCGGACATATACTGCCTTTTGTGGCATTGGGTCGGCGAATGGTTGTCCCAAAACATGCCCAGAATTTTCTGCACCAAAAACACGTGAAATGAGACCAAATTGAAGGCCAAATGTGAGCCAATTTCATACCTCATAAGTGGTGACATTGGGGTCGTATTGGATGTCAATGGTCTCCGTGTGATCGCCTAACTTGTGGTAAGTGGGGTTCGGTGTCGTTCCCCCCGTATAGCCCACGCGAGTCCGGATCACTTCGGAAACAGATACATGTTATATATAAACGGGGTATTAATTGATTGAATGGGTGGACACATACCTCCCGGTGCACATCCGTACTGTGCCTCTGGGAACCAGAATCACGAGAGTGCAAGGGTTGCCCTCTGGGTGACCACATCCGGCTCATACAACTTCATACCCCGGTTGCAGATCTAATATCGCAAGAAATTAATTGTCAATATATTCCGTATTCAATGGCATTCAATGTGTGTCTCTATTCTCCATTCAACTCACAGTTGTTTTCCTTAAGAAGCCAAACATTTTTGTGTCAAAACTTATGAAACACTGAATTTAGGCATCAATTCGTTCAATGAATTGACAATAATTGCGATGAAAAGTGTGTTTTAAATGTCAGAAATGTTTGTGCGTTTCACTCAAAGTTTGTTTTGAAATCCAATCGTTTGAATGAATTGTCTGAAGAAGTCATGCGCCGAACCATTCAATTGATAGCACATAACACCATTAAATCCGGTTTTTCTCTAATTTCCTTTCAAAGTTTTTTTGCACAACATTTTGCAACAAACTTTGTATTTCTCAAGAAATGCACTCAAATTCCGGTACTTTTATGTGAATACCATTGAAGTCGACCTGAAATTCATTTATTATATGAAACACCGGTTCAGCAAATGATCACAAAATTTATTAATAAGCATTAAATTAAATATTCTGTCACTTGTTATCACCAATAAGTCAAAATATTATGACATATGAGATGCGGCTTATTAATTAGCAATTTCAATTTAGTCAGTATTGCTTAACATTTATTATATGGCCAGGGTCTCTATAAGAGATATAGAAAATATTATGTAAAATATATGCTTGATTTTAAATTTAATCTTTATAATCAATTTTATAGTCAACAAATTCAATGTTAAATGCATTTATGCATGAATTAACAATAATTTTAGGCCACAAATTGTCATTCAATGGACAGTAAGTTAGTACTCAATCACCACTGAATCAACACTTAATCAAAACCAAAATTAAGTACTCTTTCAAAGTCATCAATTTGTTCAATAACTAGGAATTGACAACAAAATCTAGTTTTTAATAAATTAATTTATTTTAAAATGAATTATTAGGAATTTGTAGTCAACTTATTTGCTTTACTTTCGACAAGACTTTCGTGTTATAAAACTTCAAGTTTTAGAA